TACCATCAACACTAGTATCGAAACCTTTACCAAATGAATTTTGGACTTCAGAAGGATGTGATGATTTTGGGACTTTTGCAGGCTGTTTTAGATCAAAATCTTTTACAAATGAATCCTGAGAAAGCCGGCTCATAGTTTTCTGGAGGAAATCTTGTGTACTCATTTCCAATCCAATATCTGATGTTTGACTCACAAATACTTCAGGTAGATTCGCGAACACATTACCAATTACTCCATTAGAATTTGCAGCTTGTTAATATAGAAAAATTAACTCTTATAATAATAATAAAAAAGAAAATAATAACGTTTATGATTAAATACAATGATGCATACATTGTTCAATAGGTATAAACACAATACAATATTAATTGTTAAGTTACAATCATTATTACATTCCATTTTGAAAAACAAAAAACAAACAATTGATTTTGCAAGTGATCAAGACATAGAGTTTTTTTTTCTTGTTTACCGTTCTTTTAGACTGAGATTGGTTGACATCTAAGTTAGATGGCTCTCCCCATGTCCTTGCAAATTCACCTAGAGTGACTGAATCCTTAAGTTTTGTGAACTCATTCTCTAATTTCCCCAATCTTTCATCAATTATTTTCTCAAGCTTCTCCTCCAAAGCAGCCAACAAAGTCTGAAACATTTCTTGAAAAAAAGACTTCATGTCTTCAACAAAAGCTCCATGTTTTACAGCTGATCTATGGCACAACAATTTCTGTTTTCGTTTCTCTGCACCAAGGTCAGAGAGATTATTAATTCCCCTCTTTAAACCAGAAACTGAGCTGTTTTCAACATTAGAAGTTCTTACTTCAAGTACCTCAGTAATAATTTCGTTATGATGAGGCAACGAAGTCTCACCAGATTCTACAGACTCCCATATATGTTTACTCCAGTCGTTTCCAAGTCTGATGAGCTCTTTCATATGATCAACTCTTTCATCACGCATTTTGTCAGACCATAAAAACTCAGCAGATTCCAATATATTGAAATCCATGGTAGAAGAGATGTATGGATAAAAAACATCCTATAAGAAAGTACAAAAAAATAATTAGTTACATTCATTTATAGACGAATTCAAAATATAAATTATTCATTGTTTTCAAAAAATTACAAACCTCTGATCCAAATGTGCTCTCGAGCTGAATAATCTCATCATACGATACTCTTGCAGCTCCTGTCCAATTAGAGCATCTGACACTTTCTGTGGAAGCATTCTCGAGTTTCCGGCCCAACAATATACTAAAGTCTGGAATTGCTTCCATGAGCCAAATCTGAAATGCATAGGAGAAGCCATCCAAAGAGTATGCTGTCTTCTCCAAATTCTTTTGGTTTTTGATAATTGACTCAACAAGAGCTGTAAAAGATTCACGACCCCATGGATACGCCCGCAGGTTATCAAGATTCATCACCAGTTTGATGTATATGAGTGGAATAGCAACCTTTTCATCCTTAGCCATAATCAAACCAGCAATAACACATAAATACACCAACCTCAATCTGTCCTCACGATCCCAGTCGTTAGCACCTTTTAAGTGCTTCTCCATGATTGTCTTCATGCTAATCTTAGCGTCATTCTTTATCACTTTGCTCCAAAACCCCGTATCTTCTACAAAGTTCTCCACATTGCAATTATCCTCATTTAAGCACTTAAGCCCAGTAATGGCATATAATTCTTGCAAAGAAAACCGTAGGGGCCTCTTGCCAAACACAAACTATAGCTCACGACGTTTGTCAGTTATCAGTTGCCTACACATAAAGCTTTGAAGCAATCTTCCCGAAAATCCTAGATTGTTTTCATAGATCGCCAAAATTTTAGCAAATACAGGGTCTCTCTTGACAATTTCAAATTCATCTGGCAGAGCTCCCTCCAATTTCTCCATATATGTCATTTTGCAGTTGTTGTTAATATGTGACACTTGCGGCTCACATCCTGCCTTAAACAACCGCTTTGGCAACTCCAAATTCATACCTACAAACATAATTATTCAATAAGACTAGAAGAAAAAGAAGCCAATTGGTTTTGTACTCTAATTATTGATTGTAAGTGGAAATTTTCAGACAATCAAAATACTTGAAGATCAATTTTGAATATAATGATGAAAGAAGGAGGGTGGAGGAGAAACTTACCGCAATAAGGACAATGGCAGCCGGAAGAGGAAAACGCTGGCAGAGAAGGAGGAGTCCGGCAAAGAGGAGAAGGAGTCCGACGAAGAGGAGGAGAGGATGAGGCCTTCTTCGGACTGTTTATCTGCAATAATCAAATTCTGAAAATTAACTTTAAAACCTAGGTTAAGGAGAAAACAAGGAAGAGGAAAAAAGAGGATGATGACAATGATACCAGCAGAAGAGGATGAGGATGACGATGGAGGAGGAAGACACCCGCGACAGATGAAGACGCCAGCGAAGGAGGTGGAGGTGAAGGTGGCGTAGAGGAAGAAACCGATGAGTTTTAAGTTTCTGTCTTTAATTTTGATGGTAGATAGGTTAATTTTCTTTTTTTTGTGTCAATTCAATTTCTTTAAAATATTTCTTTAAAATATTGGAAAAATCAATTTTAGAAAAACTTAATATTTTATATATTAAAAGGGTAATTTAAGTTTTGTATTATTTATAATAATAGTTAGATAATATTGTTAAAAAAATATTAGTTAGACAATACCTTTCAAAATCTATCTTATTTTTATAATTTTCCCTTAACTTAAATCGGTTATTAGCACATCACATGAACAAAAAAAATGAAGAAGCGTTATAATTTTTTTAAAAATGAGCACATCATATATATACACGAGTAATTTAAAAACAATTAAATTGGGTAGTTTATCCATGCTCGACTCAAATATTAGTTAGGAACTTGATATGCTTAAATTAACCTTTAGAGCTACTCTCTCAAATTAAAAGATCACTGTAGTACTTAGGGATCGAATCCACAAGGATTTAAATTGTTGCACAATAAATTTCAGGTTCAAATCGAGCTAAGGAAAACTAAATGGATGTAATGCAAGTAATAAAAAAAAAGCAGCAAATCGATTGTGAGAAGGTTTTAAATCAAAGAGAGAAACGCTAGGCTTTGAAAAATTCGCAGGTGAATTCGTATTGCAAATCTAGACAGAATGTTAGAAGTTTATTAAGCACTGTTCTTGAACTTAAAACACTAATATAAAATCAATCAACTTCCGCTGCAGAGATTATCTATGTCTAAATCATAGAATTCCAAATTCCTTTGCAAATCCTATCAATTCAAACAAGCATTAAAATCAGGTTCAATTGTTCACAAAATCCTGAACCAAATTCCTTTGCAGATAGGAATTTTGCTCATCTAAGATTAGTTCTGGTGATTAACAATACATCCGCATCTATTAATCAACCTAAGATCAGATTCTAGGTCGCGAAGCTAGAATAAGCAATAAACACAAATCCAGATGAAGAACTCTAATGATTTTACCCTAACAATTCAATTCAACCTAGCAATTCATCATTGAAAAACTCTAAACCTAACAAGCAAACTACTCAAACATGATCAATGAAACACAAATCGTAATTTAAATAGAAGACATACGAGAAACCAATAGAAGAAATAAGGGAGTTCAAAATCTTCTCTAAAGGAGAAAGATTTATCTCTCCAAAACTCTCTAAAAATCTCTCTCTTAATCTCTTTGTAAAATAAAGCTTAGGTCTAAACAATGACCTTAAAATCCTATTTATAATGCTCAAACACGTTTTGGGGCAAAACTGTAAATAAGTGAACTTCTGGGCAAGTTTCCTTTTCTTCAAAAGTGTTGAAACACGCGTCTCTTTGTATCCACGATTGATGTCGATCGACACCAAGGAGTGGTGTCGATCGACACCCTGCTCCAATATGCTCTCCGGGTTGGTCTTTTCAGCATCATCTTCAACATAGCTCCAAAAGATCCCAAAATCTCCAATTATACTCCAAGCGTACCTGAACCTACAAAGACTCTAAAAGACTCGAAAAATACCAAAAAGACTCTATAAAAAGGACTTACATCATGATCAAAAACCCATAAAAACCATGATATATCAGAACTTACGATGTGGAATATTATTTTTGTTTCAGTCCCTGTAATCTTGTAGTGCACGAAAGAGTATCCGCTATGATTTCCCGCGCTTTCCCCGCATGAGTTGGTATCGACTCGGGCTGCTGTACCGTGGAATGTCAAAACCGGCATTGCATTCGGATGACCGTACAATGTGATAAAGGGTTTGTTCCTATCGATTGCGATCTTCTCATTGTATTCACAGCGACCTAACTTGATGATCACGCGCTTAGTGTGTTCCCTGCGGGTTAACCGTCTTGAAATGTCCTCTTCCATTTGGTTTCACCTAAATAATTTCCATTAATAAAAGCCTTAATCCATTTTGTATTAACATGCATTATTTTGCTAAGAGTACTAGTGGGGCTGTCTCACCGATCAACAGAGCTGGATCTAATGTGCTATTTCTACTAGCCAACGAAGGTACGTTGGTACTGAACCATTGCTGGATCGAGTGTTTGTTCTGCGGAATTGGTGCTGCATCGTTACCCAAAACCAAGGACGAGGTAATCACAACGAGCACGATTGTTACTATTAGGGACACATTATTGTATCCCATGTTTTTTTTATATTATATATTATATTTTTACTAGATTTTCTGAAGTGAAGAAAATAATAATTCTTTTCTTCTCCTGGTACGTGGTCTTTGCCTTCAGCTTTTCTCAAGTTCGGTTATTATACCATCTCTGAAAGCGAACAACATTCATCTTTTTCCATTAATTGTGTCAATAAACAATTACAAATTATATAGAATTTGTTACGTAAACCTCTCCAGGAATTGATACAAGTAAAAATTTGGGACTAAGTTGCAAGTGATTTTCAGAATTGTCAGAAACAATGATTTTCTCTTGATATACATATCGAAGAAAGCTATAAGAAGTCATCATCGCAAATATGTCAAAACAAATGACTACGAGACATCTGAAGTAGATTGAAACCATCTATGCAAAAAAGTTATATATACAGGTTGAGGTTGGTCGCGTGTGTCTCATGACAGATAATTTTGACCAAAAAGAAAGAAAAAAAAAAGACAAAACCTAACTGGAGCAAACTAAAATTGGTTTTAAGACAAGGAAATAAAGGCTTGAGCATTTCTAGCGACCTTGATAAAGACATCTTCGAGAGTTGTGTCGGCGAGTCCCCAAGCAAAGACTGTGAAGTTTGATTTGGCCTTTTCTACAGCCCTAAACACCTCAGCAATACTAACCTCTTGCTTTGGAAGCTCGAATTTCTGTGTACCAGCGAGATGATATATCTTCTTGGCGTTGGGAGAGACAGCTGAAACCAATCTCTCAACCTCTTGCTCATGTTTTGAAGATGTTGTCATCGTGAACACATATGATCCACCGTACCTGCTCTTCAGCTCCTTGGAGTTTCCTATGCATTGCAAGCCTCCGTCTACAAATATCCCCAACCTATCGCACAGAAACTCTGCTTCTTCCATCGAGTGAGCTGAAAACGTATTCCTAAAGTTAAGATTAAGTCTAACTCAAACGTAATCACATTCCATAATCTCATATATATATACTTGTGAGGATTATTGCTGTGTTTTGTTTTGCACGTTTAATCACATCCCATAAGCTCTTCCTCGAGGCTGGATCAAGTCCTGTGCTTGGCTCATCCAAATAAGCCACCTAATGTAGAGAATGATTTAGTCAGACCTTAGGGGTTGTTAATAACTAATTAACCTCTGAGCCATCGCCTTAAAACCACACAATTAACAAGAATGTACGTATTTCTACCTTAGGGTTCCCGATAAGCGAAATGGCCACGCTAAGTCGCCTTTTCATACCTCCGCTGTAATTCCCAGCAGGTTTGTCGCCGACTCCTCCATCGAAAAGGCTAACGCTTTTTAAAGATCCTTCCACAGCCTTGAAATGATCAAATATTAACTATTGTACTTGTGGAACATATATAAAAAGTTGATAATTAACTATATATATATACTTGCGTTAGAGCAGAGCCTTTGACATTCTTGAGTCGCCCGTAAAAGAGAAGATGTTCTCTTCCTGTTAGCGTCTCCCAAAGTAAACTGAAACCAAGAGAATGACATAAAAACAGAGTTGTCTTTTTTTGCTTATGGGTATTAAAAGAAGGAAAATGCAAAAGTATTGAGAAGGGTTTGTCTATTTACTCGTGCTGCGGACATACGCCCATGCTCGTGTATACTTTGTTCATATCCTTGCATATGTCCAAACCCTGAACCAAGGCTGTTCCAGAAGAAGGTTTGAGGAGCCCGGTCATCTAACGCATGAAAACATAAATTAAAACAAATTTTACGAACTGAAAAAAAGTTTGTTTGCATGCGAATGCGATGGATGATGAAGGAGGTCTAGGGAGAAACTGACCATACTGATGAAGGAGGTTTTGCCTGCACCATTAGGTCCAAGCATGCCGAAACATTCTCCGGGAGGTACACTGAGATATAATCCTCTTACTGCCATTTTTGGTGGGTTACCATCTCTACCTGGATACACCTTCTTTAGGTTGTCACACACTATGGCGTGTCCTTTGCTGCCTTCATTCCTCAATTGTTGAACCTTTTCCTTCTGATAAATTCCAATAATCAGGAAGGGCTTTTGAAATCATGGAAAGGGCAAATAAAAAAGATGACTTGTTCCCTACTTCTTGAGTGACATCTAGTTTTTCCATATCCATATCTATGGAGACTTTTCTAGAGTGCAGCCTCTGTATAGTTGGCTTTCTTGGTAGGGAAGAAGATGGTTTCTTGGAAAGTTTCTCCAAGAAAAAGAAAGGATGCTTCCCGGATGAGACAACCTGATCGACGTATAAGGCTACGATAAGAGCAAGAAACCACTCTATTGACATGATGCATAGAACTTCACCCATTCCACTATCGCTGAGATCTTCCCACTTCATCCCGTTTCCTCGTGAGGCATATTGAGAGAACTCATACAACCCTCGGTATAAAGAAAACCCAGGATACAACTCCAAGGCAACAATCCATTCTTCTGTTAAACGTAAATACATACATGGTGAGCATTTTTTTTTTTTGATTTATAAAAATACAAAATACATTGTTGATTGATTTACCAGGGAATGACTGAGTTTCAAGCATCTTTTGGAAGAGAAAACTGCCCAAGAGCCCAGTTCCGTACACCAGTATGTAAGCTACGACTGTAGTTAAGTTCATAAGATAGAGACACCATTCAAAATTTTGAACACTAGCATGTTCTTGAGCAGATTTCAAGAAACGTACGTGAATGTTATTACCTGTAACAGTCTTAACCTTTGAGAATACTGAAGAAACTAGAAAGGCAAGGGCGATTTGAAGGTTCGAGTAGATAAAATAGAAAACGAACTGGATGCTATAGGAGTTGAGCCGGAAGTACTTGAGTCCAATGGCTGACCCGAAGATGACCAATGAAACAACGTACAACAAAGATAGTGTAAGAAAATAGGCATATGAGATCATCCAATAAGGACCATCGCCTAGGCCGTGCATTTTCATTATGATTCTTAGACGCTCTTGTTTCTCATACACCAACGATGTCAAGATCACCTGCAAGATTTAGAGTTATTTTACATACGAGAGGACAATAACATGTCAAATGATTGGGAAGATGGAAACTTACGGGGAACAAAAGAAGAACAACCCAAGTGAAGAAAAGTGGGCCAAGCAAAGACGCAATATCTTGATTGTATTGAGTTGCTTGTTTAGGAACTTCTTTGACAAACTCGAATAGTATCTTCGTCGTGGGGCCTTTTAGAAAGTTTAGATAAGCATTTGATATCTACAATTTTTTCATGGAGAATGATGTTATAATACAAACATATTGCGCGATGAGAGAACATGATCATGGTACCAGATTGATAGAGCGAGGAACTCGAAGCAGCTTTACAGGCCTAATTGAAAACTCGTCCTTGTAGGTTGAGTTATACCATATGGTGACATTGAAGTTTTTCTTATCCGTACTCATGAGATCATATGCTAAGACAAAGAAACAAAAAAAAAATGTGGTGGATCCTAAACATATATATAATAATAAATGTATATGTAAATGGAAGAAAATTTCAAAAACCTGCAGCGATCTCGTTTGTGATCCCCGCAGGATTTCCTCTCCAACTACCCTTGAAGAGCTCATTGTTGACCTCTGCAGAGTTATTTCTCCAGAGACACAACCCTTGAACACACTTTACCTCTGCGATGTTAATTTAGACACAAACCCACTTAGAACGTTTTATCATTCTACTTTTAACGTAATCAAGAGGGGAAAAAATATATATAATACCGGTCTGAATATTTCCGAGAGAAAGTGGCCACGTAGAGTTTTCACCGCAAAGATGTTGGATACTGTAGATGGGGAGATCTGAGGCAATCCCTGGATCTGCATAATTGTTTTCGCCTGCTGCTTCTGTTGAACCCTGGAACTCATCATCTTTGAGGTTTCAAAAAAATACTTTTGGCTCCAAAATATATGCATATATAGAAGAAAGAGGACATACCAAGACATTATTGGCTAAAGTAGGCAAGAGGTCAGAGGAATTGACCGCAAAAGAAGTAGCAAAGATACTCGCGGATATACTTTTACCAAGGGGCTGTTTATCCCCAGTGATAAGTATAGTTACAGGACAAGATCCTCCTGTTCCTCTGCAAGACTTGTCAGGGAGGTCTCTGTAAGAAAAGATATCGGCCTTAACAGAACGGAGTTCTTGTTGTGGAACCTGTAGCATCGGAGGCAACAATGGAGGGTTTTGGATGGGACATATACCACCAGGCAGATTAGGGTTGCTTTTACAATCGTTAGCCAATTCAGAGACACTCTTCATCAGAGCATCGAGGACTTGTTGAATCGCCAGGAGAAGCAAGCAAAGGAAGAGTGGAACCAGGATGAGTCGAACATTCGTCCACATGTGTTTCCTCTGCATGCAGCAGAAACTACAACTCCTTCATCTCAACTTGGATGAAATAGAAACGGAACAAAGCATATCCACATACCTGATACGTTAAGTTCTTCCTAAGTAACGCATTGGCCTGCGTCCAGAAACTAGCCGGACTAGGATCTGCCATTGATCAAGAAAGAAACAAGTTTCAATAGTACGTGTACTTTTTAAAAACATGAGAGCTTTCTCTTTTCTTATAAATGAACATCTCCCACCTAATTAATTGCCAAAATAACATGAGGTCCCCAGTTAATTGCCAAAAATAAATCAGGGTGGGTCCTAATTTCACATATTTCTCAACGTGGGAAGGAAATTTAGTCAAACCCTTAAAAACTGGAATGCATTTTAATTCCTTTAAAAAAATAATAAGAAGTAAATAATTTGTTTTGTTTTTGGTAAAAAAGTAAATAATTTGTTTTCTTTGCTTCGTTAACATAATTAATTTACTAATGAAAATAAAAATGAGTTTGCAAGTAGGCTTGCCGCTTCTCTATCAACAATTCACGGCCTGCCCATGCGAAGGTGAGAGGTGGGATGGTTAATGTTGCGAGAGTGGAGAGACAAGTATCGTGGAAACCTCCAAATAACGGCTGGGTTAAACTGAATACTGATGGAGCCTCGCATGGGAACCCCAGGGCTGCTACGGCGGGAGGAGTACTGCGAGACGAACACGGTAACTGGCGTGGGGGATTTGCTCTCAACATTGGTATTTGCTCTGCACCTTTGGTGGAGTTATGGGGTGTTTATTACGGGTTATACATCGCATGGGAGCAGCGGGTTACTCACCTGGAGATTGAGGTGGATTCAGAGATTGTTGCTGGCTTTCTACAGACAAGGATCAATGACTCGCACCCACTGTCATTCCTAGCACGCTTGTGCTACGGTTTTCTATCAAAGGACTGGTTAGTCCGAATTCAGCATGAGTATCAGGAAGCAAACTGTCTAGCCGATGGTTTAGCCAACCATGCTTTCTCTTTACCCTTGGGGTTTCATTATTTTCAGTCTGTACCTCACTGTTTAGTCTCGATTTTGTCAGATGATACAATTGGGGTGTCTCGGTCTCGTTTTGTAAGGGAGTAGTTATTTATTTGTTTCGGAATAAAGTTTAGGAGACTATCGCCTCCTAGCATCTACCCAAAAAAAAAAAATCTACAATTCACAGCGTTGTTCAAGAAGATACCTACTGCTCTCATGGCAGAACAAGAGACGGCGTGTCTTCAGCTCTTCTCTTCATTCTTCTTCATCCTTGTCATCTTCTGTATCGAGGAAGCGATGAAGGCGAGCGACGCATCCTCAATGGCGTACAAGAATGTCACCGATCCCACGCTTCTGGTTTCACCACCGATCCCTCCTTGTGAGAGCAGTGGCAGAGCTAGAAAAAATATTTACAGAGGTCAAAAAATTTAAATTTTTTAACCTAACTGCATAAACTTTATTAGAAAAATTAATATACTAGCATTGATTTAGATATATATATATATATATATATATATATATATCACTCATATCTCTTGAATCGGTTTACCATGGTCATGATTACGTTTATTAATGTGTTAAACACTTGTATTTCAATAAAACAAACTATACAATCACCTAAAATACATCACCAACACCAATACGAATGATAAAAATATTTAGTCTCAGTTATTAATGGGTTTCTTTTTATTTTAAAATTATTTGTGATAGTTATTGGGCTAACAGTCTCTAATAGGGGTGGGCACTTCGGTTTTTGGTTTGGTTTCGGTTCGGTTTTTTCGGTTTTACGGTTTATCGGTTTTACGAAAATTCTAACCATATAAAAGCTATATATATTTTGGTTCGGTATGGTTTGGTTTTTTATGGTTTGGTTTGGTTTCGGTTTTTTTGGAATTATACTATTACGAAAAAATTTGATTCAAACTAATGGAAATAATAATAATAGATATGAGTGAAATAAAACAATAAGTTCAAAAAATAGAATCTAAATCATAAAAAAAAATCCATCAATAAGACAGATTTCAAAGCAGAGAAACAAACAAATTATCAAATCTTTCATAATCAATAATTATAAAATAACAAGCAAAGCTAGATTAAAATTTGATACCTTTTGAAATTAAAACTAGAAGACTTGAATGTGAAGAAAAAAGAGTTAATCACGTTTTTTTATTGAAAAATTAAAGTTTACTTTATTATTTAGATGTAGATATTTTTTTATAAATATTATATTTTAAATTTATGAGTTAAGTTAGTAAGTTATAAAGATAACTAAGTCTAATAATAAAATATCTATTTAAACTAAATTAAGAAACTAGGAAAATATAAATTATTTAAAATTTAGTTTAAAAACCAAAAAATCTTTCGGTTTGACGGTTTTTAACCAAACCAAACCTAAACCAAAGCTATAAAAAATGATGGACAAATTGATTTTTAGGTTTAACCATAACCAAACCATATCACTTTTTTCGGTTATGGTTTTTATGCCTACCCCTAGTCTCTAACATCTCTTGTACATGTGGATCCACTCTTGTCCGATAGTTAGTGCGTTAGGCTAGAGATTAGAAAATTAGAAAATACTAATGATAGAGTGGTGGAAGCAAAGTAACAAGATCAGAACAAGAACTCAGCGAATACTCAAAATGATTTTTGGATCTTGTTTTGAAGAGAACAGCTGAACAATAAAGTAAGAGTACTCCTCTTAGTATAGTAAAGCTCTTAGAATTATTATTGCAAATCAGGTGTGTTCTACAAAAGCCAATGAACACATTTAAATACTAACTACGAGATAAGGATTAATCTCTAGTTCTAATCTAAAATGATTTAAGTATATCTTTTAACTGGATGAAAACAGAAGTAATTAAGAAACTAGGCAACACGTCAGAAGGCTCACAACGTGTACGCCTGAAAGCCCAAACCCTTACGATGTGCTACATCAAGTCCCGTCGGGTGGGAGATGGTCCACGATCATTGTCACCATGAAACAGAGATAAATGTTTGACGTTGAAGACGTTAGAAGTGCGTAGATGAGGAGGCGATCAAACCCAATATGCATTAGCATTAATACTCTTGAGAATCTCCACCGGACCAATCTTTTTATATTTAAGCTTGTTGTATTCGCTAATGGGGAAACGCTCCTTAGTTAAGATCACCTAAACAAAGTCACCTGGTTCAAAGAGGACTTCATGATGCTTGGTATCCGTGGCAGCCTTGTATTTGGCGGCAAACTCTTGAAGATTAAGCTTCGACTGTCGATGAACACCCTGAAAATCATCTATGAAATCAACAGCCTCACCGTGGTGACGCATACGATCAGGTAGAGTAGTCAAGTCCAACGGACATCGTGGCAACACACTGTAAATCACATGAAAAGGACAGAACCCGAGGCTTCGATTGACGGCGTGGTTGTGAGCAAATTCCGTCTGACACAATTTTGCATCCCACGACTTGATATGATCGCCTATGAGACACCGCAATAGGTTTTCCAGGGAGCGATTGATGACCTCTGTTTGCCCATCCATCTGAGTCTGAGGATGATAGGTGGTGCTCGACTCGTACCCAAAAATCGCCACAACGAGCGCCAAAAATGGCTTAAGAATCGCGTATCAAGATCAGACAAAGTTGAAGAAGGCAGGCCCTGAAGTCGATATATCTCCCCAAAGAATAACACAACCACACTCACGGCATCTGTAATCTTCTTATAAGGAACAAAATGGGCCATCTTGAAAAAATGATCGATCAAAACAAAAATGGAAACATGCCCGCGTTGCGTACGAGGAAAACCTAGGACAAAGTCCATGCTGACGTCTGTCCATGGCTGCATAGGAATGGGTAACGATAGATACAAGCCTGCATTGGATGCTTTACACTTAGCTTGTTGACACACACGACATCTCTCCACAAAGCGTTCCACGTCTTGGCGCAAGGAGGGCCGAAATATGAATCTGCAACCAATTTCAAAGTTTTATCTCAGCTGAGATAGCCTTCACTGTGCAATTCCTGTATTATCTTTGTATGCATGCTACCCTCTGGAATACAAAGACGGAAACCCCGAAACAAGAAACCCTCATAAATCGAAAAGTTCGACGCCAAGCTTTGAGCTGCCTCGGCGAAGATCTTCCAACAAAAAAAGGTCGCTTGGATACATATCAGCTAGTGATGCAAACCCGATAACCGATGTGTGCATAGTTGTAACAAGACTATGACGACGACTTATGGCATCTGCGACATGATTGGTTTTGCCGGATGGGTGTCTGATGGAAAAGGTGAATTGTTGTAAATAGGCAATCCAAGAAGCATGACGGGAAGAGACCTTGGCCTAACTATCGAGATGACGCAGAGCGTCATGATCCGTGAACAAAATGTATTCGCGATGGACCAAGTAATATCGCCACTGTTTGATGGCTTGGACAATCGCGTAAAACTCGACGTCATACGTGCTATAATGACCACGAGCACCTGATAGTTTCCCACTATAGAACGCTATCAGACGCCCTTGTTGACCGAGTACCGCTCTGATCCCCAGCTTGGACGCATCACAATGGAGCTTAAAGGAAACCGAGAAATCTGGGAGAATTAGTATAGGCGCTGACGTGAGCTTCTCCTTGATAAGTTCGAAAGCCGCTGTGGCCTCTGGAGTCCACTCAAACTTCTCTTCCTTCTTACAGCTCGTAATTGGAGCCATGATGGAACTAAAATGGTATACAAATCGCCGATAAAAAGATGCGAGGCTGTGAAAACTACGCACCTCCGTGATGGTCCGCGGGGTAGGCCAAGAATGAATTGCATCAATTTTGGAGGTGTCAATGGACAAACCCTTACTCGACACTACATAGCCGAGAAAGAGAACTTCTGAAACGCCAAACTGACATTTGTGCTTTGCTGCATAGAATTTCTCGGTGCGAAGAACAGCTAAGACTTCTCGTAAATGTCTAATATGATCGTTCATGGAAGAGTTGAAGATCAGAATGTCATCAAAATATACAACAACAAATTTACCCATGAAAGGACGGAGAGACTTATTCATGACACGCATAAATGTATTCGGTGTGTTGGACAGGCCAAATGGCATGACCAGCCATTCAAAGAGCTCTTCCCGAGTTTTGAATGTTGTCTTCCACTCATCGCCATGGCATACTCGAATCTGATGGTACCCGCTCTTCAGATCAATCTTAGAGAATATCATGGCAGAGCCGATCTGGTCCAGCAAATCATCCAGGCGCGGAATCAGAAATCTGTATCGTAACGTGATCTTGTTTATGGCGCGGCTGTCGACACATATGCGCCATGTAGCGTCTTTCTTGGGAATCAGCAAAGCCGGAACAACACATGGATTAAAGCTCTCTCGAATGTGGCATTTATGCAATAGCTCTTCAACCTGTCTGCGAAACTCCTCATGTTCATGTGGACTCATGCAGTAATGAGGTCAATGTTATGCTGAATATCGCGTAACAGTGGGAGTTCCATTGGCAGGTCTGTGGAAAACACGTATGCAAATTCCACCAAGACATGAACAAACTCTGCAGGTAGTGTAAGAGCAGTCGAAAGTGAAGGAGATCCTGGCAATAGGGCAAAGGCAAACTTGCTCGATCAAATCTCACTCTTAAAATCAGAGTAGGAACACAGTAACGCTGTCGGATGAGTGGTGACTTTCTCTAGAGGAGGAGGAGAAGGTGGTGCCGGTAGGGATGACTCGCGTGATGGTGCTAACACGATTTGGTGTGTCTCCCAGATAAAGCTATATGTGTTACGTGCACCATTATGAATGATCTTACGATCAATATCCATAGTCTCCCCAAAAAGGAGGTGGCAAATCCATCGGAGTGATGTCACAATAGGTACGATCACGATAAACAGCTCTGATGGAAAATGCTACCAGTGCACGTTGTGTGATGCGGACACTGACACCCTCCTGAAGCCAGCTGAGCGTGTAGAGGGACAGATGATCCTTTCGTTGTATGCCCAGTTTATCAACTGCGACATTAGAGATCACATTCCTGCAGCTTCCCGAATCGACAATAAAACTGCAAATACGATATTTAATGGTGCAGGTGGAGCAAAAAATGTTGGTACACAGCCATTGCTCATCCTATTGGTGTGGTGTTACACACACCGTCAGACAACTAGTAAGCGGCCTGTATCCCCATAGGTATGAAAATCGTCTGCATCGTATTGGTCGTCCTCATGAGAATCGTACATTGTGGGTACGTTCTCTGTAGTTTCATCAATGGCGAGACCGTGACCCGTCTGCTTAGGACAAGCCGTTTGTCGATGTCTAGGCTCCCCACAGGCAAAACAACATAGGGCGTTTGGACGGGTAGATCGTCAAAGCATCAAGTCTTCCGTCAATGGGGGCATGCGTGATGAAGAAGCAACCCCGTATGTTCCCTCTTTACTTGGTAGTCCTGCAGTCCCTTCACTTATCTCTTGAGTACGATTCCGTGATACCCAAGTGGTCGCACACAACTGTTGATCAGACGTTGCTGCACGTTTGAAAGCTTTGCTAACCGTTGTCGGGTCAAACTATGCTAAAGCAATTTGTAGTAAAGGACGAAGACCTCCAATGAAGCGCGACACAAGCTGGACCTCACTATCATACAGCTCATTACAAGTCAACATTAGCGAAAACTCTTCAGTGTATTCTTCGACGCTGCGATTCCCCTGTTTTAGGTTCTGTAAACGTGTGTACATAGTGCAATCATAGTTATGCAGAAGAAACATTTTGCGTAAGTGTTTCTTCAGCTTCTCCGATGACTGGATGGGTTCCTTGTCAGTGCGAGTGCGAGTGGACTTGAGCTGCTTCCACCAAGCTACTGCATGACCACGTAATTGCATAGCCACCAGCAGAACACGCTGATCCGATAGAACTTGTTTAAACTCCAGAACTTCATCTATCGAGACCAACCAATCAAGAAGACCATCGCCACGAATCCCACCATGAAATTCAGGAAAATCGACACAAAAGCCCGCTTCCCATCGATTACCCGGTTCCCCACCATCATGGTCATCCCGTCAGACAAGGCGATGGTGTTCATCTTCGTAGTCGACGGGGTCAATCTCTGTACGCTGATCTGCGAATTGATTCACGTCCTCGTGTTGCACGCAAATCGGGTTGCGTGCAAAGTGAGTCAATAGTGTCTCCTCCATCGTGTGAATTGAAGCATGCATCGTTGTCTGGAGATTCTCCTAGATCGCAAGAAGTGTCGTACGTAATTCAGCCCAATCATCAGCAGCAACAGATCGACTGTCAGCAGCATGCCTGTTGTTGTTGGCTTTTGGCGGCATCATGACGACAAAAACAAGAACATGAACATTCTAAGTCTGATACCAACTGATAGAGTGGCGGAAGCAAAGTAACAAGATCAGAACAAGAACTTAGCAAGTACTCGAAACGATCTTGGATCTTGTTTAGAGGTGAGAATTCTTAGCTGAACAATAAGGTAAAAGTACTCCTCTTAGTGCTGTAATGCTCTTAAAATTATTATTGCAAATCAAGCGTGTTCTACAAAAGCCAACGAACACGTTTAAATACTAGCTAACAAGATAAGGATTAATTTCTAGTCCTAATCTAAGTAGGGGTTATTGGTTCTTGTATTTTGGTGGATTTAGATTCTTCTTTGGATTTGATAAATTTATTGATTTCAAAATCAGCAAAATAAAAAAAAATCAAATTCACTCAAATACCAAGGTTATACCTTGTATTTGAGTCTTTGTATTTTAGTCATGAAAATCCTTCCAAATCCATTCAAATTTAATTAAAACTCAAATATTTATAATATTTAGATTTTAAAATGATAGAACCAATAACATTGTATTTCATTATGGATTTTAAAATCATAGAACCACTAACACTGTATTTTAATATAGATTTTAAAATACAAGAACCAATAACACTGAATTTGGTTTGGATTCTCAAATCCATTAAAATACAAGAACCAATAACACCTCAACGACTTCAGTCTATCCTTTAACTGAATGAAAACAGAAGTAATTAAGAAACTAGGCAACACATAAGAAGGCCCACGACCTGTACCTTTGAAAGCCCAAACCCCTATGATGTGCTACATCAACTAACTCTGCAATCACAAAGTCACCCATTATAGTTCTACTCTAGCTCAAATACGCTTAATTCTGGAATTTTCTGAAGATAAGTGACCAAAAATATAAGTGCATTTTGGTGATATAAGTTGCCAAATCAATTCTCTTAAGTCTCTCCATATATACATCCATATTCCTGAAACATGAATTTTACAATTCACCCACTCATTGAGCATAACGTCCTCATTGCGCACCAAGACCGTGACTCCCGATGGTGTAAGCCCTTGTGACTCCACCCTCTCATATGGGTTGAGCTTTGACACCATTTGTAACGTCATGACCGCCCTTACCAGTGAGCACCCCATCTTCTCTCGGGCTGTGGGCCCCAACCTGTCCGACGATCGGTGTGTTTAGCCGGAGGTTTGAAATTCATGAAATACTGACTCTGCAATTACTACGCGATCTTTCCCTGTGTTTTGGTTTTACTCATACAGTTTCAATAAATGAGGGTCACTCATCATAGTCCTACTCCAGTTTATACACGCTAAACACTGGAGTTCTTTCAGGACAAGTAACCGAAAAGATAAATAGACTTTAATAACATATGTTGCCAAATCAATTTTCTTAAATTTCTCTACATATACATCCATATACATCCATATTCTTGAAACTGGGATGTTATACCAATTCCCAGCAACAAGGTCTAATTTTTTATTTGCTGAAATCAAATGTTTGTGTGTGTTTAGATTTTGAATAAAAAAAAATTGATTTTTGATGTTAAAGGTTCAATCTTTCAAAGTGCCTGAGAAGGTAGATTTTGAATCAAAAAAATTGATTTTTGATGTTAAAGGTTCAATCTTTCAAAATTGTGTCACGTCCCTCGCAAGTCCCAGGAGCTTTGCATTTTGGAGAAAGGAATACTACAATAACCAGCTATGGAGTTCAAACAAATTCTTCGTCGAAGAAAAAATGTGGTCGTGTTAAAGATCCAACTTTTAAGTTTCTTGTTCTTCTTCAAATCGCTGCAGAACGTGAGATAGCAAAGTCCTTAATTGGAGGTACCATTCTTGATTATCTTGGAGCTATTGGGGTTGTGGCATTTGACTCTATGTTGTTCAATATCAATTTCAGATCCAGGTATTGGTTGGGGTTTTGGGTTTACAAATTTTGCTCGTACAGCTAATACATGTGAAACTATCTATGCACTCAAAGTTATGGGGCCAGTCTTCTTTCTTGCTTTCTCCATGTTTGGTTTCGTTCTCCAACTCGCTTCTCTAGTTACCAAGAAAGAGCTAAAACTTCGCCAGGCAATGATAATGATGGGAGTTTTCGATACAGCTTATTGGGTATCATATATAGCTCACATGGGATGGGATCCTTACCTTCGTCTCCTCACTCTTGCTAGTCCTCTTAATTTGGAATGATGTTCCAGTTCGATTTTTCCTCGAACTAGCAGTTTTGTTCTTGTCTTCCTACTTTTCTTGCTTTTCCAGCTTAATATGGTAAAGATCTTCAACGCCCTAATACCTTCTGAGATGCAACCTTTTGTATATCTTATCTATTGTTTGCGTTTTTTTTAGATTGGCCTAGCCTTTATGCTATCATCTTTCATTAGCAAATCATCTTCCGCTACAACCGTTGGTTTCCTTGTGTTTCTGATTGGTTTCATGGCACATGATTGGTTTCATGACACATGTTCCTCAAATTTTGTTGACTTCTTATTGGTGTAACTACAGACTGTATCAGCTACTGGATTCCCTTATTCAAGCGCCTATGCTGTTTCTCCTTGTCTGATGGGGTCACTTACGGTAAGTTGCCCATCATTAAATTCATGTTTTGTTCAATATTACACTAAAAACTCTATAAATTAATATTCATTAAATTAATAAATTTTATACATTAATAATTCTTTTCAATTTTGAGTTGGACCAGTTTAAAATATAACAAAACTTGATAAGATGATAAAATAATGTTTTAAGAAACTATGTAATAATGATATAAATTAATAAAATTAGCATAAAAATAATTTTATTCAGTGATATAAATGATACAATCCATATATAATTTTTACACAAAAACTTAGAAAATGTTATAATTTTCAAAGAAATTAATATCTTTAATTAATTATTGATAAATCTTAGATTTTATTTAAAATTGATAGATTAATAATTATATAAATTAGTAAAAATATTTATTAATTTATAAAGTTTGTACTGTAGTTTGATTGTTTATTAAATTAGTCGTTTTAACTTGCAATAATGATTCATATATAACTGCAACATGATGTCAAAATATATATATAGCTGCAACATTATGTCTTATCGGCATTTTGAGAAAGTGTCCAGATATACATATTGATCCAGACCCGTCTTTTTGCGAGTACACTTGGACCATTACTCCACGTGGATTCTCTGTGTTTTTCATCCCATATATAACTACAAATCTTGCTTTCAAACACATCAAGCTTGTGTCCGTTAATTAACACTGTGTAAACTTTATTTCTCTTTCTACACATGGCTTGCAATTAAAAATCGACTTCCGATCCCACAGGCAACCGTATGATCACTTGGAATGGAGGAGCAAATGAGAGATCATCTTTTCTTCAAATGCCCATATTCAGATTAGGCATGGAGTACAATCACTAGGAAGCTTTTCAGTCCATCCTTCTTCACATACTAGCAAGAGCTCCTGGCGACAACAAGCTGGACAAGATTCAGAGATTTTTAGCGAGATATGCTTTCCAGACTATAGTCTACACTACAAAAAATTGACCCACGCTCTCTCTTTCATGGCGATAAAATTGGTGATTTAAGATTTTCTTTGTACCGTCGTCGGTGAGGTCTCACGCCCATCGGCGAGAATTTCTTATTTTCCCTTTCTCTTCCTTTCTCACTTTCTTTCATGGTTCTGCTAGTGTTAACTCATGGGAGGATTCCACCGCTCCTCTTTCTTCCTCCGGATCCGGATCCAGATCCAAATCTGCCGTTGGTCGCTCTTCCACCCTAGATCTGTCCTTGGTGTTTGTCAGAAATGACTTCTCTTTGATGGGGTTATCGATGGGCTTTGAGGCGCTTTTGAGGACTGAGTTCCCAAGTCTGTCCTTCACTCTGTTGCAGTCGTCAGATCCTCTGCCGAGTAGGAAGTCTCGTGGGCCCTTGGTCGTTGTGTGTGGTGGTCCCCTTGTGCCGTCTTCACCAAACCCGCCATATCCACCTGATTTTGGATCTGTCGGAGTAGTTTCAAGCCCTTTGATGTTCTCTCGTGGATCTGCCTCTACGCCTCTTAAGCTCTATGAAGGTATTATTTCTCTTTGAGCCTATAATTTTTTTGAACAATCGGCTTCACTTGAGAATTTGCCTTTCTTTAGGCTTTGTTTACCTCTGTACGAGGATTGCTTACTTCAGTATAAAAATTGTTTATCTCAGTTTGAGACTTGTTTACACCTCATCTGCTTCTCCTTTGTAGAGATTTCAAAAGTGATGGTAATTTACATCGATCTTTTATATTGTTTGCCTTGGTTTTGTGTGCTAACCTACAGTCAAGTTTACTCCTTTATGGAGCTGTCCGTTCTTTCCTCTTTCCCATTAGATGAGAAAAGTTGTTTTGCAGTGTTTGAGTTATGCAAGAATTTTAAGCATTTGAAGGATGAATTCAATATCTTCCTCCAATGTCCTGTTGCTGGCTGCTGTTGGGACCTCATCTTGTTTCAGTCCAAGCTCAGTGAAAACTCTCAAGCTTCTCTGCCTTTGATGCTTCAGGAAACCCTTACTCTTTGACGCTTAAGAAGGTATTCTCCGCAAGTGTTACCTTACTCCAAGTGATTTTGGACTCGGACATCCTAACTATTGCTCTCTTGTTGGGAACAGATCTGAACGAGTTTGCAGGCATTCTACGTGATGTACCAAGCTTTGTTATTCTTTTCTTCAGCTTTGTTATTCTTTTCTTCTCCACCTATGTTTATGATTTCTCTTGTTTCTGCATTATATGTTGCAGCCGTTTTAGATATGGTAACGTCTTTGTAAAGACTATGTTTGGTTTAGATAAATGAAAACAAAACAAATTGACCAAAAAAAAAATCTGCACTACTTAGCACGAAAGAAACGTTTCTCAGAATGGAGAAAATCCGACTCCAGTCTCAAGCCTAATCCGATTCATTGACAAACAGATACGATGCCATCTATCCTTGATCCGCACAGGTGGAGACTACTCCTACATGGATGCTCTACAACATTGATTGATAGCTTACGTTCCTCCCCAAATCTACAAGCTTCTCAATTTTCAGTTCCCTCTATTTTAGTTTGAACGTTCAACTGAGATGCATGACTTTAACATGAGAGTAACCATGGTTCCTTCAGCGCAGAGCTGACCTAATGTCATGGGCCGCCTAAAGCACACAAACAAAATATACCCATAAATGTAAGAAATAATCATAAAAACACAGGTTTTGGAGTCGAATTTGGGTATCAAAGACAATACACAGTCGAATATACCCATCATTTTTTGTAATTTTTGTTTTTTTTTATAACTCATGGTACATCTCAGACCTGTGGAAGGGTCCAAACTAATTTTCTGGGAGAGGTGCAGCCTATCAATAGACCCTCTCTCCGGGTATTCAAATGGGCCGAAAGCATGTGTCCATATTCGTATGGCCAAATGAGATTAATTAAGCAATTTCGCACTTGAGGAGAATCGATCCCTGGTTTCGACCAATAAAGCAACTCCTCCTCAAGTGAAAACCACTAAACCACCACCACTTAATTTCATTTTTTGTAAATAATACTCATAAATATTATATATATAATTTAGTGCCTAAAGTTGGGACTTTATCTGCTTTAGCCTAAGGCAGGCCATTCAGAGGTTGCATTTTCTAGTTCAGCCTCTATTTTACTTATGAAAAATCATCAAATATTATAACTCATGAATATGATCGAAGAGATGTTGTTATAGTTTGATTTATCCATAATATCATGTAGTATGGACAACTCTTCCTCAAGTGAAAATCACTAGACCACCACCACTTAGTTTTATTTTTTGTAAATAATACCCGTAAATATTATATATATAATTTAATGTCTAAAGTTGGGACTTTATCTGCTTTAGCCTACGGCAGGCCATTCAGCGGTTGCATTTTCTAGTTCAGCCTCTATTTTACTTATGAAAAATCATCAAATATTATAACTCATGAATATGATCGAAGAGATGTTGTTATAGTTTGATTTATCCATAATATCCTGTAGTATGGGATAACTGATGCAGCGCATCTATCAGTTACGTTGAGCTTTGTTTAAACACGCTAAAAAAGCATTTCCATATTTGCTATTGCTAGCTCTTCCGTGTTTGCTAGTACTAGCTCTTCCGTATTTGCTATTACTTATGTTGGGCTTTGTTCAGACACGCTAAGGGGCTTTTCCGTGTTTGCTATTACTCTTTTATTTATGTTTAGGGTTTTGGTTTCTGTTACTTTTAAGATAATTATGAATCTTTTGTTGATTAGGATCGAGAGATTTAACCTAATCTTTCACTATTATAAAAGGATGTTCTAAGAGCTTTTTAAAGGACACCTTTTGATTTGAATTTTCAATAAACCAAGAGCTTTTACAAGCACTAAGAGGAGTACTCTTAACCCCTTGTCTCTTCCGATCTATTCGCTTGAGTCAAGAACCAAGGATGTTTGCGAGTTCTCCTTTGAGTACGAGCTCCGACCTTTGTTACGTAGCTTCCACTTTCTATCAGTTGGTATCAGAATCGGAACGTTCCTGCTTCTTTAACTCCTCGCCATGCCACCAAAGAAACAAGCTGCTGCCGGTGGTGCTAATCAAGGAGTTCCTATGACTGATTGGACTGAACTTCGTACAACACTCCTAACGATGCAGGAGAATGTTCAATCCACCATTCATGTATCTATTGAAGAGATGGGAGAGATGCTAGTGACCCGTTTGAGCGACCGTGATCGACATGGCGCAAATCGGGCCGACGGTAATCTATTCGCAGATCGCTTTGATGATGCCGAAGATGAGGAGGATGAACACAACCGTCGTGTTAGTCGACCTGCACATCACAATGACGGTGATGGCCGCGACTACAGATGGGAGAATGGATTCAAAGTCGATATCCTCGACTTTAATGGGGGAATTCGTGGTGATGAACTTCTCGATTGGATAGTTTCTGTGGAAGAAGTCATGGATTTCAAACAAGTCCCAAATGATCGTCGAGTTCCACTAGTTGCAATGCGTTTTCGAGGACATGTAGCATCGTGGTGGAAACAGCTGAAATCCACACGCACTCGTACGGGCAAGGAGTCGATCCTCTCTTGGGAGAAACTCAAAAAATACCTACGCAAGACATTCCTTCCACACAATTACGATCGCATGATGTACAATCACTTACAAAACCTTCGCCAAGGTAATCGCAGCGTTGAAGATTATACGGAGGAATTTTTGCAGCTCTTGACTCGTAATGAGCTATATGACAACGAAATTCAACTTGTCTCCCGTTTTATTGGTGGATTACGCACCCAGCTACAGAACGCAGTGGCACAATTTGATTCCACAACAATCGCTGAAGCACATCGTCGAGCTGCGAAATTCGAACAACAGCTTCGATCATCACCATGGACCAACTCTGCGGCTCGGACATGTCTAACGGATCATCCTTCGACTGTCACAACAGGTGCGCAATGCGGCAACACTACACCATTAAGCAATTCTGATCGCGCTACAGCTTCACTCGACTAGACACAGCTTCGCCGCTCCTCGCGTCTAGATGCACTTCGTTGTTTTAACTGCAGAGAAAGAGGTCATCGTCAAACAGCATGCCCCAAACAGAGACCCCGTGGATTGCTGACAGACGATATGCTTTCCGACCAGCTACCGGCGTATGACTCCACCAAAGAAGACGACACAGGGGAGGCTGATGCTACACATACACAAGGTGACACGGGACATCTGCTCATCACTCGTCGCTCGTGTTTGATGCCCCCTAGTCGCGGTGATCAATGGTTACACACTAATATATTCCGCTCGACTTGCATGGTCAACGGCAGAGTGTGTAATTTCATCATTGACTCAGGCAGTTCTCGTAACATTGTCTCTATGGAGGCAGTGAAGAAGCTCGAGTTACCCTTTGAAGCTCACCCGGCCCCGTATTCACTGTCCTGGTTGCAGGATGGCTGTTCCGTGCGCGTCACACATCGCGTTTTGATACCTTTCTCTATTGGCCCATACTATAAGGATCGATTATACTTTGACATCGCTCTAATGGATGTTTGTCATCTCATTTTTGGCCGACCATGGGAGTTTGATCAAAAAATCATTCACGATGGTGCTAAAAATACATACCATTTTACGTGGGAAACTCATCAGATTTTGCTCCTGCCTACTCCGGATGTCACAGGTCATTCGTCCCTTTCGGATGTTCGCCTTCAGTCAGCTCCACTGCTACCGCAAGCATTGCCAGCTCCGTTACTGTGTTCAGTGGCATCCTTTGAAGAACAACTCCACGAGACATGCCTTGTTTTTGCTCTCATTGCTTCACCGCCAACAAAAAGAACAGGTGCTTTACCGAGTGCTTTCTCCTCTTTACTGGACGAGTTTAGCGATATATTTTCGGGAGACCTCCCGCATGCACTACCACCACTCCGTGACATTCAACATCACATTGATTTAGTTCCAGGGGCCACATTACCTAATCGCCCAAACTATCGGATGAGTTCCAAAGAACACGAGGAACTGCGATGCCAAGTGGAAGACCTGCTTCGCAAGGGATACATTCGGGAGAGTCTAAGCCCTTGTGCAGTTCCCACATTGCTAATCCAAAGAAGGATGGGTCATGGCGTATGTGTATTGACAGCCGCGCGATTAATAAGATCACTATCCGCTATCGATTTCCGATCCCTCGCCTTGATGATCTCCTGGACCAGATTGGTAAAGCCACTATTTTCTCGAAAATCGATCTTAAAAGGGGCTACCATCAGATCCGAATCCGACCTGGTGACGAGTGGAAGACTGCCTTTAAAACGCGTGAAGGCCTCTTCGAATGGTTGGTCATGCCGTTTGGGTTATCCAGTGCACCAAGTACCTTTATGCGAGTCATGAACCAGGCCCTTCGTCCTTTTATTGGGAAGTTCGTCGTCGTCTACTTTGACGACATCTTGATCTTCGGCTCCTCTGCTGCTGACCATTTATCGCATATCCATGAGGTTCTGTTGGTCCTACGACGTGAAGCGTTTTGGGCAGCACGTCAGAAGTGCGACTTTGGTGCCTCAGAGGTATAATTTTTGGGCTATTTATTTCTGAACATGGCTTAAGAGTGGATCGCTCAAAGATCGAAGCTGTCAAATCATGGCCTGTCCCTAAGTCTGTAAGTGAGGTCCGCAGCTTTCATAGCCTGGCGTCTTTTTATCGTCGCTTCGTTTCAAACTTCAGTTCCATAATGGCTCCGATTACAAATCAGATGAAAGAGGGCCAATTTCGTTGGTCAGCCAAGGCGGATGCAGCTTTTGATTTGATCAAAGAAAAGTTGACCTCTGCGCCTGTCTTAGTTCTTCCAGATTTCTCCCAAACCTTTGAACTCATTGCGATGCATCCAAATTGGGTATCAGTGCAGTACTCAGTCAACAAGGCCGCCCAATCGCCTACTTCAGCGAAAAGCTTGCTGGAGCCCGCAGCCGCTATAGCACCTATGACGTCGAGTTTTACGCCATTGTTCAGGCTATCAAACATTGACGTCATTACTTGGTTCATCATGATTTTGTTCTATTCACGGACCACGATGCATTGCGTCATCTCAATAGTCAAGCAAAGGTCTCTTCACACCATGCGACTTGGATATCCTTCCTCCAGCAGTTCACATTCTCCATCCGTCATCAGTCTGGCAAAACTAATCGAGTTGCTGATGCTTTGAGTCGATGCCATACTCTCTTGACGACGTTGCATCCTTCTGTCATGGGCTTCGCGGCATTTGCTGATCTTTATGTTTCAGATCCTTTCTTTGGTCGTATTTTT